AGGAAGCAGGGTGTGCTTGAAGCTACTTCATGATATCACTTTTTCTCTCTTCCTGCAATGAACTTTGATATGCTGCTTCCTAGGGCACATAGAGTCTGAGCCTGCCGAACCAATTCAAACATAACTGTTGTTGTTAAGTGCTGTTAAGTCAGTTCCAAGTCATAGCAACCCTGTACAGGATTTCTGAGGAGTGGCTGGTGAGTTTGAACTGCCCACCTTGTGGTTAGCAGTCCAATGCTTACCTTGCAATGGCATACCAGGACTCCTGATTAAACCTGGGTTTTTCAATAGTAAAAGGTTGTTGTTGTTGTTGTTAGGTGCCGTGGAATCGGTATCAACTCATAGTGACCTTATGCACAGCAGAACGAAACACTGCCCAATCCTGGGCCAACCTCACAATGGTTGCCACACTTGAGCCCGTTGATGCTGCCACTTTGCCAATCCATCTCTCTGGGGTCTTCCTCTTTTTCTCTGACCCTCCACCTTACCAAACATGATATCCTTCTCCAGTGACTGGTCCCTCCTGACAATATATCCGTCTTCCATTTCTGAGGCTTTGGAGTCTTGCTGAGAGACTCTCAGTAGAACACTCTCCTTCCCACCTGCTTTGAGGCTAAATAAAAAGCAAAATGTCTCATACATTTGGGTCCTGGTGGTGAGGTGGAGTAACAGAACGAAGCTTATGTTTATCCTCCTACTGGACACGGAGACTGCAGACCAGGGAAGGTAGAGATCGAGGTATCACAGATCGAGAACGCCCAGAGAGAGGAAGCAGAAAGCCAGGCCTCCTAGTTCTTTCCAACAACACTCCTCCCTCCAACCCCGGGTCCCACTGTGGCATCTACTCAGGTCCTCGGTGCCACTGACTTCATCCCAACACCAGACTGTCACTGCAGGAGGAAGGGGTGAGGCCGCTGAGCCTCTGCTCTGAGCAGGTCGGTCCTGGAGTTCATTCAAGCAACTGCCCACTACGCGGTGAGCTCACAGAACACAGAACCATAGCTTTTCCGCTGCCTCAGTGCCCCTACGTCCCCCAGTGTTTGGAGGAAGAGTTCATGAGTAAGAACTAAACATGGAGGAAAAAAGGAAAGAAAATAACCAGGAAGCCATGTCCATTCCATTGTCCAAGTGTGATGACCAAAAGGACCCAACCAGTGACCATGGAGTCGACTTCAACTCAGGCTGACTCCGTGTCAGCACAGACTCGAGCTCCATGGAGTTGCTGTGGATCACCAGGACTTTCTTCCAGCGCACCTCGGTGCCAATTCAAACCTCTTTCTATTAGCAGCCAAGCATCTCGCCATTCTGCAGCATCCAAGGACTCCGGTAGCAGAGACCAGGCAAAGGGGCCCTAGACGAGGGCTAGGATGAACTGCGTGAGCAGGCCGAGAGAGGCCCGATGGCACCCCGAGGTTTCACTTACTGAGGAGGAAATTTCCGATGACATGGAGTCGGAGTGTAAAGGGCACACAGCCCTCACCTTGCTAACAAGCTCACTGGGCTCTCAGCGCCCGAATCCCTGCCCAGCTGTATTAGGAGCAGCATGACCAAGTGCAGCACACTGGTCTCAGCACTCCCTCAGAAGACACTGGGTCCACACCACGCCGGCAACAGAACGTTCGGGTTCTATTTAAAGAGCACACATCAGTATTTCTCATGCACCAGGATTTAATTTCCTGTTCAACTTGAGCAACATGCCAGACTCCGAGAGAGACTTTAGACCGATGTGCAGACTTCCAGCCAAGCTAGTTCTCAGGCAGCCTCTGCTACCTCACGAGGTCCCCACGCTCTTTGATGAGTGTTATTGTTGATGCTCAGTGTTGTCAAGTTGATTGACTCATAGGGACCCCATTTGATGTAAAAGAAATGCCCCACAGGGTTTTATAGGCAGTTGTGGCACTGTAGGATACGTGCTGGACTGCTAACCCAAGGTCGGCAGTTCAAACCTATATCAGCTGCTCCTCAGAAACCCGCTACAGAATCTCTGTGTGTTGGAATCTACCCCAGCACTTAACAACAGTGTTTATGAGAGCAGATCACCAAGTCTGTCTTCCACAGAGCCACTGGCTGGGTAGGTCCAAACATCTAGCCTTCCAGTAAGGAGTGCTAACAGAGCTTCACGTTTATGAGTAGAGTTTTCTGCATGTTTTCAAAACTGTAAGTCTTCCAAAGTTTCTAACCCTGCTCTCTGGAGACCCTGCTCTCTCTCCTGGAAGAACATATGTGAATAATTCCTCACCCAGAGAGCTGAGTCTAAGAGCCTCCTAGATTTCCCCAAATGAGGCGGGTAGGCAGCTTTAGAAATGTTCACAGAACAGGCATTTACATTTCTCCACAGAATGTTCTTTTACAGAAAGTGTCCCTGGTACAGCTGTTTGTTTCTCCAGTAAGCACTGTGGATGGTAGCATGCCTCCATGCCCTTGCTCGCCTGGGAGGGGCTTCAGAGGATGGAAATGCAGTGACATCAGGGAGGGCGGTTCTCTCTCTCTTTTTTTTTTTTTAAAGTTTTTAATTGTGAATTGAGTGATAGTTTACATGGGAGAACATAGATTTTACACTCATCATTTCATTGCAATGATTACAATCCCCTCCGTGCATCACCATTCAATAGTATTTGCTTCTATTCCGTTTTATTATATTTGAGGGGTGCACGGGGGCAATGTACACAAAAACACTCAGGAATATGTAATAATTTAAACCACCAAAAGGCACATTTTGCAAGCCTGCCTCCTGGATGCCAGCTCTCAGTCCCTCTCTTTCCATGAGTCTAGAGTCCTCAGCTGCTCCCTCTCTCCATGTCCTCATCTCTGCCTCCATCTCTGGTGTCGCTGCTTCTCCGGATAAGGTCCCACATTCCTCTTGTGTTCTTCTCCCTTTATGGTCCTGTGGTCCTTTGTTTCTGGACTGTAAGATTAACTACTCCCCCCATTTGAGGGTGGTTCTCTTGTCCTTGGCTCACTAGCTGCTTTTGTGTAATATAAATCCACTTCATAAATTAGAACAGAACTAGAGAAAACGGAGAGAGGGGAAACTCATTTATCAACTGAATTTATTAAAGGCTGGGTTAAAAGAAGGTGAACTGTCACGATGTGGCCTTTTTCATTATATATGTGTGTGTGTGTATTTTTTATTTTGTTATTATTTTTATGTGGAAATAGACAAGGGTTAGGGTTGAACAACATGATGAACATAATTAATGTCAATGAACTCTATATGTGAAAGTTGTTTAAATGTCAAATGCTTCATTTATATATACTTGTAGATAGATATAGATATATATGTATATATATATATATATATATATAGAGAGAGAGAGTCCTGGTGTGGCACTGTGGGTTAATGCGCTGGACTGCAAAGTCAGTTTGAAGTGCAAAGTCAGCAGTTCAAGCTCGCCAGCTGCTCCTTGGAAATCCCATACAGGGTTGCTATGGTTCGAGACTGACTCCTGACTTGACTGTAGTTAACAACAACAACTACATATATTATTTTCTGTCTTCCATTGCACCCATATGTGTCTCCGGTTGGTGGTGTTGCCTTTTCTGTAACCAGCTGTCCCTGAGTCAGTTCTGACGCACGGGGACCTCATGTGAGTCGGAGTCCAAGAGCTCCCTAAGGTTCTAGTGACTGGTTTTTCAGAAGTACATTACCAGGCCTTTCTTCTGAGGTGCCTCTGCATGGACTGGAACTGTCAACATTGCAATTAGCCACCAAGCAGGTTGACCATTTGTATCACCGAGCGACTCCTGTCTTTTCTTCAATAGAGCATTTTTGTTTGTGTATAAAGAAGAATCCGAAAGCAATTTGACAAGGTAGCACTGTAGGATAAGCACTGGACTGCTAACCGCAACGTTCAAATCCAGCAGTTGCTCCTCAGAAACGCTATGTAGCAGGAGTGGGGAACGTCCACACAAGGTCTGCTCCATCAGGCAACTGCAGGTCCAACTGTGACATTGTTAATCTTGTTGTTAAATATCATCCAGTGGGCTCTGACTCGGAGCAGCAGGTGGGTTTGAACTGCTGACCTTGAAGTCGGTAGTTCAGTGCTGATCCTACAGTGCTACACCAGGAGTCTGGCCATCATGCTGTTGTTGTGTTGTTAAATGCTGTCAAGTTAGGGGGAGAGCTAATTAAATGTTTGAGCAAACATAACAGGCTAAGTTATAAGTTGATAATTTTGTATGTCCCACAAATGATGTTATAAATTTTGGCAGAAAAAGGCCCCTGCTATACAGAGTCACTATGAGTCAGAACTCAGTTTATGACCCATAACAATAACAGCTGCTACTTTTTTTTAAAGGCGGGAAGTTTTATGAATCAGTTTTGAGGAGGGCATCCCTGCTCTTAAACAATTTGGCCACGATTACTTTTAGAAGACAGACATCTTGGGGAACAGTCTAGTAGGAAAGACACCAGACTGCCAGCTTCAGACAGTGAGGTTATGAGCAGTGATTATGTTACTTCTTTCTCATATTTTGATGTTTTCCAAATTTTAAATAATGAACATACATTACTTTTATGTTGTTGGTGTTGTTATGTGCTGTGGAGTCGGTTCCGACTCATGGCGACCCTGTACAGGGTTTCCGAGGCTGTAAATCTTTACGGGAGCAGAAAGCCTCATCTTTCTCCCAGCAGAGAGCTGGTAGTTTCAAACTGCCAACCCTGTGGTTCACAGCCCAACTTGTAACCACTATGCTACTTTAATAATTACAATAAAGACTATTCAGCGTCCTACCCTGTTCAGTGCAACTGAGACAGTCAACTGTGACTCTGTCTAACAAGAGCTTGGTGTCTACTGACCCTTGTCCGATTTACAGATGGCACCGACTGTAGCTGAGGTCTAGGAAAGCCCCCCACCAACAGAGCAGTAACCCCTGAGAGATCAGAGCCTTCTAGGGGTTATTAAACACTCGCCACCCTCCTCCTCCGTTCTGTTTCACACCTGACTCTCGAGTCTCCAGCTCACCTGCAGGGACAGAGTGCGCATGTATTCTCTTTGCAGGTGTGGGAGCCACCTCAGGAGTTTCTGCCAACTTCCTCAGTACCTCTGGCAGCAGCACCCTCTCTCCTTTCCAGCATGCCCATAAAGGTAAGGGGATGCAACCACGGAGAAGAAAGGGGTGGCTGGATGAAAGTGGAGAGGAAGAGAGGAAATAATTACTAGGAATGATTATGAAGTTCTTCCCCACCTCCAATCATTTCTCTAATGTGATTTAATTGCATGAGCTGCCCCCAGTTTCTGGAAGTTAATAATTATCTCAGCAGGTAGTGGGATTGATCACTCCATGGGTGTCCTCAGTCCATTAGAATGTGTTCAAAATACAAATACTCTCATGAGGAAGCAGCCGCAGGAACAAGTGAGCGAGGCTCAGACAATCCCCACTGAGGAGGGATACTCCCCCTGGGGCTTTGGTTTGGCAAGACATCAACAGCAGTTTTATTGCTGGCTTTCATATAAACCTCTGACCTTAACACTTTAATATTCATTTCCAATAACTACATTTCATTCTCCCTAATCCTTGATTAAGAGGCTAGCTCCTCAGAATACCCCCAAAGTCTAATACTTCCCTCAGAGCAAGACTGTGAGCTAGACGCTCCTTTCCTTCTCAAACTATTTTGATGGCATCCCGTTATTTAAACGCACTGAAGGCCTGTTTCAGCACCTTTAAAAGCCTGCAGGGCATTTAGCAGGCCAGCCTCCTCATCACCCTGAAACTCGGGCCATTAAGGCAGGAGAACTTTGCTAGGATCTAAGAATCCCATTTCCACCAGGTGCTGGGGGAAATTGCATGCAACAAAAAGAATATTAAAGCATTTATCTCATCCGTATTTGGCATTAGTCCTGTTATAGGTGGTGGTGGTGGATATGTGCGGTGGAGTCGGTTCTGACTCATAGCGACCCTGTACAGGGTTTCCGAGGCTGTAAATCTTTATGGGAGCAGAAAGCCTCATCTTTCTCCCGTAGAACCGCTGGTAGTTTCAAACTGTTGACCTTGCGGTTTGCAGTCGGATTCGTAACCACTATGCTACCAGAGCTCCTTATAGATACTTCCCCCAAATGGTACCATGAAGTCAGTTTTCCTGCAGACCTGCCCCCATGGGCAGCTGCTGAAACGGTGCCTGCTTTGGCCATCTGCTGTGGCCCTGCCTTTCAGAACTAGCTGTAGCCTCTTCCAGAAGATTCCAGAGACACTTCAAGTGCTCTCACACTTTTCTATTTGGGTGATGGGAAACTTGGATCCTGCTTCCTGAGATTTGATTGGTTAGTTCACTGAATTGGAACAAGTTTCAACGCATTTTACACAAAAAGACAAAACTTCATTAGGAGTGGGCAGGCTCCCTTGGCGGGTGACAAACAGATTGAAACAAGGCAGGAGAAATAGGCACATCAGTCTTCGCAAGATCTTTGCCTGAAATTCCGATAGTTCTTAGGTTGACGTTGCAGAAGACACAAGCCAGGTCCAAACCCAAACTCATTCCTCTTGTGCTAGGAGTTGGCTTTTGCATCCTGACTTTCACTTAAAAATACCCAAACTGAGACTGAACTGTCTTCAGGACACGTGTGTGTCTTGAGCGTCTCTAGTACTCTCTGCACACCAGCCACCTTGTCCCAGGTTCCCAGAATGCATCTGAATCATGGCGTTCACGGGCAAGTCTGTATCAGCAACATTTAAGGCAAGCAAGAGGAGGTGACTAGGTAAAACAGACCTGGGAGCTTAAGTGAAATTCAGAAGCAAACCAGTTTAAAACGAGTTTTCAGTCTTAAAATTTTAGGACTCTGTTCTCAAACCAAGTCAGCATTTCAGATTCCAAGCATCCTGACCATGGCCTGCAGGGGCCCGTGGTCTTCCTGAAATGAGGGCATTAGCTGGTTGGGGCCAGGGACCCATTGCCTAGAGAACCTATTGGGGCTCATGGCCTGCTCTCCTGACTCCAGCAGAGCTCTCCGGTCAAGGACACCTAGCCACGGCCCTCATCATCGCCATGTCCACCATCTTCATCATGGCCATAGCCATCGTCCTCATCATCATGTTCTACATCATGAAGACAAAGCCTTCTACCCCAGGTGATGTCCCCTTCTCCCGGACCCCTGGGCCCACCCATACCGCCTCCCTCTTGGGAAACTCCACCAGCTTGTCCAGTTGGGAAGTTTGTCTACTGACACTTTTCCTGTTCTTCCAGCAGCCTGCTGTACCAGTCACTCAGTGAAGAGCGTGGAAGCCCCTGTGAGCAAGGAAGAGGAGAAAAAGGAGACCCAAGGTCTGCAAACACTGCCTTGTACCCTTTCTTCTACGATAGGTTATGTTATTGTTGTGTGCCATTGGGTGGTTCCAAAGTACGTGGTTTCTGAGGAGCGGTCGGTGGGTTTGCACCACAGAAGACTCCAGAGGTGTCACATAGTCCTCTCAGCACTGTTCCTGGTAACATGACCACCTCTTGGCTTCTGCTTTGGTGTTATTCAATACAAAGGCTGCAGGCAGAGGTGTTAGTACACCCATATCTGACCTAGTCCTCAGTGTGTAATTAAAAGAATGGTGTCATTTGAGGGGGGTTAGCCATCAGACAATTCTATGAAAGAGGAAACAGGCTGGGAGAGGGTTTAGAGGCGCCAAACCAATATCACCTCATTCTCTACCCCCAAATCTTCCCCCCGCCCGCGCTCCAGACAACGTAGTGATTTTCTCTGAGAAGGACGAGTTCGAGAAACTGACAGCAACTCCACCAAAGACCACCAAGAGGTAAGGTCAAGCCAGCAGCAGCTCCTCACCTGATGATGGCAGTCCTGCCTCCGCCCTGCTGAAGACCGGGAGAGGGTCATCCTCAGTGTCCTGGGCATGGAGGGGCTGGGGGTGGGCGAGTCTGCTTACTGAACTACACAGCCACTAGTGTGCTGGGATTGTGCTGGAAAAGGACATGTGAACCAGGTGACGACAGCAGTTAATGGACCGTCCATGGAGAGTTGATTTGTCAACCAGCAGGCTGCCATTAGAAGCCAGTGGCTAGCACCTGCCCACTCCTCCAGGTCAGGGCCCACCTTCCTTTCTCAGGGTGCCATATACCCTCAGCCCTCCTCCTTAGGATCCTCTTCTCTGTGCAGTTCCCAAAGCTCTCCACATCGCCTGTTCTTCTCTCAGCTGTGAGAAAGCCCAAGGCATCTGCAGTCTAAGTTTCTGCTGCTGCCGCCATACACTATCCTAATGCTGAGGGTGCGGGTCACTATCCAGCGGCCATAGGGTGAAGAGGGTGTCTCACACAGTCAGTGCACAGCGTGTGCAGACCCTGTGTGAGTGTGTAGCTGCGTCGTCACACCGCAGCCCTGGGTCTGCACTGTTATTACTCCCATTTAGAGAAGAGGAAACCAAGCTTAAAAGTTAAGTCACTGAAGTCACAGGCTGGGGTCCAAACCCAGGTAATCTGTCTCCAGGGCTGCATTCAACCGGTTCCTCACAAACTACTGCGAACACTTGGCACTTCTTCAGGAAGAAGTTTTACATATGGTTTTTGGGGAAAGGGAGTAATCACCCCCCAAATAAATTTGGGGTGGAGAGAATTTATATTGCTCCTCCCCCTTTGATGTTTATTAACAAACCCTGGAGGCACAGTGGCTTAAGCATTAGGCTGCTGACCACAAGGTTGACAGTTCAAATTCAGCAGCTGCTCTGCAGGAGGAAAAGGAGTTGGTTCCCACAAAGATTGACAGTCTCAGAAACCCTATGGATCTTATAGGATCGCCATGGGTCAAAACCAACTCAGAGGCAATGGTGGGAGAGTTTGGGTGTTCACTTAGAGTTGACTCTGGTTAGGTTCTGAAAAATGGCCCCTGATACCTGTTCTGAGGAAGGCGGTGTACGTACGTAGACCTCCGCCGCAGGCCGGAGTGCCTGTGGCCGTTCCAGGTTGTTACTCTCAGGACACCATCTCCCCACACTGTTCCCTCTGTCGAGAGGGGCACAAAGGCCAGTCACTGCCCAGGGTCACTGCACTGGTGACGGGAAGAGCAGAGATGTAAGGCCTCCTCTCTTGCCCCCTGGCTCGATTGTGTGTGAGCTTCTGCAAAGCCACTTACACTGATGACTACCGGCGATTCCAGATGGTTCTGTAGACAGAACACAATCGCACCACCTCATCTGAAAAAGTCCAGCATCTTATACCAGTCCTGACACCAGGGCAACTGCAAACTTAAATCATGACATCTGCCCCCAAAACGCAGGTTGTGTGTGTGAAATTAGTGAGTCTTTTAGCCACAGGTCCGTTCAAGAGCATTCTGAGAGAGCATTTCTCAAAACCTCTGGGAATTTGCTGTCCAAGCAACTTTGTGCCCCTCCGGTGAGCATGGACCAAGGTGGAAACCGTTCCTGGGCTGAGCTGATGCATTTGGGTCCTAACTACTGACTCACTGGAAATGAGCTTGACCATCCAGCCTCCCATACACCCAGAATCCCACTGTGTCAACTTCTGTCTCTCTCTTCCTCTGACCTTTCCTATTCCAGCAGGCACATCTGTGGGTTGAGTTCCACATAAGGATTGAGGAGAATTTGCTGTTGTTTGGTGTCATTGAGTTGATTCATAGCAACCCCATGTGACAGAGTAGGACGTCCCCTAGAGATAGCAGATAGTTAGGTCTTTTCTCCAGAAGAGAGGACACTAGATTTAAACCGTTGACCTTTCGGTTAGCAAATGAGCTCTTAACCAATGTACCACTAACTAGGACTCCTTGAGGAAAAACTGGGGAACCCTTAATTGGAAAAAAAAAATAGTTACCACACTACCTCTAACCAGAAATGAAAACTTGAAAATTGTACTTTACCCAACAACCCAACAACCCAACACTGAGTTGCCACCCCCTCATGCTTGCCCTTGGATCTTGGGAGAAAGGACCTGTCTAGGAGATGTCCATCTCTGTGCTCTGATGGCTTTACCATTTGCCTCTTTCATAGGCAGACATTGGACTCCCCTCGAGGCTCTGAGATCCCATTAGGAAGTGGGTTTTGCCAGGGGGATATCCATTATTTCTCTGTTCTTTTTGTCAGCCTGTCTTTAGAGTTGTATTTGAGCAGGGGCGTTATTACTATAAGCCAATGACAAGCAACTATAACCTTTAAAAAAACAGGATTTGTTTTTAAAGATTCTATTTGCCTTACCATAGGAAGCAAGCAGGATGCTTATGAAAAGAAGAGTGTTTTAATATTTGTGATGATTTTAATGAGCTGTGGGAAGCTTTTCCTTATTTTGATTGTAGTTGTTGTTGAGAGTTTAAGGTCCAGCCCAGATCTGGTAAGCTTAGACACCTTGCTGTCTTGCTAATTACTGTCGACCTTGGCAGGCAGTGAGCTTAGAGACTGAGCCCAACTGGGCTGCCCACTCCGCTTTTCTGCGGGATTCCCTGGAGCCCTGCCGCTGGGTCCCCGTTCCCACCAATCACGCCTTTCAGCCAGGAAAGAGGGCTTTCCACACTCAACACTCGGACCCCTAGGGCCCTCAGTTCCATTCACCTTTGTTTTCCATGATTTCTGAGAGCTTGCATAGATTCTGTTCCATCCACAGAAACATGAAGACACAAAGCTCAGCTTGGGGCTTTTTTGGATTCATTATAGAAATCTGTTTTCTTAGAAAAAAAAAAAAAAACCAAAAAACCCACTGCCACCAAGTCTGTTTCAACTCCTTGGCAGACCTGTACTGTGTTTCAGATTATAATCCTCTTTTTCCTGAGCAGCAGCAAGTGGTGGGCTTGAACCACATCCCAATGCCTAGTCCATAGTACCAGCAGGGTTCTACAGCATGCACAAGAAACACTGAACAGCCATCCTGTGTCAGGCTTTGAAGAGGGATGGAGAGATGACGAGAGACAGCCCCCAGCCCCATTGGCAGGCCTAAACCCACACTCTCCTCTAAGCTCCCACCACAGCCACTGGGACTTGTTTCAGTACCACGCATGTAGCACCACCCTGTATCTGGGAAAGAGCAGGGATGTGTCTTTTTCATCTCGTGTCCCCAGCAAAAGTCTGATGAACAGGAGACTGTGTCTGTGTCCCTCTTAGCTACATCTCGTCCATGAAGGAAATCATGGTCAAGATGGAGAGCTCTCTAGGGCCACCACGCAAGTAGGCACCACCCTGTATTTGGGAAAGAGCAGGGATATGTCTTTTTCATCTCGTGTCCCCAGCAAAAGTCTGATGAACAGGAGACTGTGTCTGTTTCCCTCTTAGCTACATCTCATCCATGAAGGAAATCATGGTCAAGATGGAGAGCTCTCTAGGGCCGCTGTCTCCCAGACACCATTAACGCCGTTCCTCTCTCTCCAGTGAGAACGACGCATCGTCCGAGAACGAGCAGTTGCTGAGCAGGAGTATGGACAGTGATGAAGAGCCGGCCAGTGACAAGCAAGGCTCCCCCGAGCTGTGCTTATTGTCACTAGTCCACCTGACGAGGGACAAGTCCTCTGCCCCCAACAGATCCACCGGGGTGAGGCTGGCACGCACATGCCTTTCTCCTGCTACCCGTCACAATTTACCGAGGCAGCAAAAGAACTGCTGCATCTCCAGGAGACATCTGTCTGATTTATGGCCCAAAGACAAGACAGCTCTTATTTAATAAGCTCTTCTGTGAGACAAGACGTTTCTCCAACAAGTCTGTGACAGGTTTAAAGCCAAATCTTTTTAAAAAAAAAAAAATAAGGAAATTCTAATTTTCACTATTAAAAGTTTTATTGGAGAAAATAAGAAATTATAATAAACAAAGAGAAGAAAGTTACAATCACTGGGAATGCCACAGGATAGGAAGAACCTTTGTAAATATATTGGCATATATCCAGACAATTTTCTAAACACCCATCTGTATTTGTGTTTTGTATATGTCATTTGTCGAATGTATTATATATGGGAGAAAGCCTCATCTGTCTCCTACAGAACCGCTGGTAATGATAATATACGGAGCCCTGGTGTGGTACTGTGGGATAAGCACTGTGCTGTTCACTGCAAGGTTGGTGGTTCAAACCCACCAGACACTTCTTGGAAAACCCTCTACAGGGTCGCTATGAATCAAAACCGACTCAACAGCACTCGAGAACAAGAACTGCGTGCATGCTTTATACATTTACATTGCTATTAAGTGCCACTCAGTTGGTTCCGACCCATAGCGACCCTGTATAGGGTTTCCAAGGAGCAGCCGGTGAGCTTGGCATAGTGGTTACGAATCGGGCTGCTAATCTCATGGTCAGCAGTTCGAAACTACCAGCTGTTCTATGGGAGAAAGATGAGGCTTTCTGCTCCTGTAAAGATTTACAGCCTCGGAAACCCTGTACAGGGTCGCTATGAGTTGGAACCAACTCCACAGCACATACATTTGTAGATAGATATAGATATGTGTGTATGCCTTTTAATATAAAAATAGGATCCCATATAACATGGCCCACACTGCTGTCTTACCTCAGGTAGGCAGTTGTAAGTGTCGGGGCATGGGTACTGTAGATGCAGATTAACAAAGCCCTTTTCCAGGCTATGTCTGGCTAACTGTGTAGCTGTTGCTTGGTAACCTAATGAAAGTTGCAGGTCAACTATGTTGCTAGGCAACATTGCTCATGGTGAAAACGTCCCCTGATTGGTAGACTGCATCTGGTCTGGATCCTGTTGAGAATGCCAATGTTTTGGGCGTCCCTGAAAACAGTGACTGCCACTTGCAGGGACCTTGGAGGCCCAGGAAGACGTTGTGAGATCTGGGATCCTGAGGTGTATGGGACTTCTGTGCCTGCCCAGCATGGCCTCACCCTCTCATAACTGGGGAGAGAGCTCCCACACGTCTATCTATCGTCTATTCGGGCTGGAGTCTCTGCAAGGGCTCGCTGCTGCCCTGTTCACAAACGGAACTCCCAACAGACATAGAAATAGCCTGCTGTGGTCTCTGGTTGTCCGGAGAGTCTCACTACACAACTGAGCCCAAGGAGACCCCCTAGTGGGCACTGACAGTTGTTATTAGCTAACTGGTAGCGCAGTGGTTTCAAGTTGGGTTGCTAACCTCAAGGACAGCAGTTCAAAACTACCAGCCATTCTGTGGGAGAAAGATGAGGCTTTCTGCTCCCATAAAGATTTATAACTTCAGAAACCCTATACAGGGTCGCTATGAGTCAAAACAGACTCCATGGCACATAACCACCACCACCACCAAGTCAAACAAAAGGCTTCCCCTTGTGAATTGTGGGTGAGGTTTCCCTACCAGAACTTGGTCTATTTCCGGTTCAACTTCCAAGACATCAAGGAAAGATACCTACTAGCCAATACTGAGATGGGTTGTTTGGGTCTTTGTTGTCAATTTTTCTCCATTCAGAAGTTTAACGCTCTTTTAACATTTTTTTCACAGATTCAAAGTCGAAGGAAAAAGATATTGGATGTGTATGCCAATGTGTGTGGAGTAGTAGAAGGTAAGCATGAAAGACCCATTCAGGGAACGCTTACATTAGGTTACTCTCCGATTTTAAGTTACCACCAGAGATATTCTAAAGAACCTTCTCCTCACTATCAGTAGTGAAACGAGAGGTTGACAGAAAAATTCTGATGTTCCCACCACGAGAACTGAGCATAGTCACCCACGGGCTTGCCCTGCAGTTCCTGGCTGCTACGTTCCAGGTGCAAGAAAAGTTGACTTCGGCTGCGAGCTATTGTACCACATTTCCCCAGCATTGCCCATCCCCTCACAGGATAAACAGACCCCAGTGTAGTATCTGCCTCAAGTGACACATGTAGACACAGCTCTCCGGTACCCTAGAGGATGGGATGTGAGTGGAGCCGTGGGCACGTCTAAATGCCCTCTCAGATGCCCAGTTCTACATTGGCATTGTTGTCTTATCTGTAATGGATCAGAGGAGCAGCGGTCTTGCTCCCTTCTCTCTGTGGTGTTATGTGACGTTGAGTTGATTCTGACTCATAGAGACCCTGGAAAGTGTTTCTGAGAGCGGCTGGTGGGTTTGAACTGCTGACTGTGTGCTTGCCAATCCAGTGCTTATCCTGCAGTGCCACACCAGGACTTCCCTTTCCTCTGGCAGTTCATAACATATAAAGGCCTTGAAGAACCTCTCACCTCCGTCCCCGAGACGCCATCATAAGCGAACCATAACGAGCTTGGCTTCATGAGGCCTACAGTTGAGGGACAGGTGGTCACGAGACAGGACTCGAAGTCAGCATTTCAACCTGTCGTCATAATTCACACTGTCCGTTTCTCCCACACTTCTTGCCCTCTACACCGCCTGCTTACTCACCCAGATGATATGATGTTTCCGAGAGCAAGCGTTTGGCCAAGGGCCTCCCAGGCTCCTGCCCTCTATGGAGGGCAGTCTTGCTTTTGTCTGTAACTGTCTTTTGTCTGTAACTGTCTTTCCTGACTGTAACTATATCTCACATGTATTTTCTCGCCTTCATCTCAACTGTGGACCACATTTATTTTATTCAAACAAAAAAACCCCACAACTTTGCAGCCTAAAAGCCTGAAAACTGAGAGGGAAATGCTGAGGCAGCCAGGCAGGGGGGGTAATTTTTTGTAAAGGGTCGGAGGCACCAAGAAGCCCCCACAAGCCCACTCAAGTTGCACTTGTTCAGTGAGCAAGTGGCCAGCTGTGAGGATGCTCACCCCCTTCTCCCAATGAGTCGTCTCTGGGTGTGTCCAGGGTTGATCACATCTGAGGTGGTGGGCAGGAACCCCCATCCACCCTGTGTACGGGGCGTAAGCACATTATCGCTGTGGGCAGATCACGGTCAGAGTTTGCCAGTGAGGCACCACACTCTGAGTGCAGGACAGCACTGGACAGCCTGCCAGTGACCACCGCTCTGTTGACAACAGCCCCACCCTTGTCACTGAGCCTGTTCTAGTCTCCCTGGCACTCATCCGGAGGACTTTCCCGTTTGCAAAGGGCAACAGGCACGAAGCCATTCTTCACACTCACTGTTAACTGAACTCCAGCAAACTGAGCCCTGGGGCCATCTTGCTGGCTGGCTGCTCCAACAGCCAAAAACAACTGCTGACTTCCAGGGACCCAAGAACTCCACTGGACTACCTGTGGAAATGTGGCGTCTCTCCATAGATAAACTTGGCCCTGCGTCAGCCTGCCTGTTCCAGCAGACACCAGAGGCCGTCCGCTGCCCAGTGGACAATTGCATTCCAGAAAGTCCCTCTCTGTTCCCAAGGACAACTTAGCTTTGAAAGCCCATACACCTGGGACAGTGGTTTTCAAGTGAATTGTAGGAATCCCACAGGAGAAACAGAGTTTCTGCAGTAAGACAGGAAGGGTGGGTGGTCTGAAGTCCTGCCCGTCCAGCCCCCAGAGGACCTGTCCTATCGTGCCACGGCCATGAGGACACTCAGGCAAGGATGTTAGATGAGTGGTTCCCAGCCTGGGGTGAACTATAGGGTCACCCAGGGAGTGTCAAAAGCATTTCTGCGTGCCCAATCCATGTCACCTGTCCCAGGAGATGGATTTAATCCTTTCAGGACCAAATTATTGTCGGCATTGATTTTTGTTCTTGCTGAAACCTTGTGTTTTCAGTAAGGGAATGTATTTGGATGAAAACAGAACATTGTCTTGAGGTCATATGGATTTTGACACAGTAATGGGACACATGAGTTCCAAGGGGTCTCTGATGCTGGGGTTAGTGGGATGAGGCTTGTGTTTTTCTGATTTACCTAGTTATACAGGTCCCCGTCAAATTACATTCTAAAAGTGGGGTAACAGCTTCCCACTAAACTCCAGAAGCAGAAATAGAGGTGGTCACTATATGGACCACAGGCCATGAAAAAGCTAGTGGTCTGGAGTGAGTCACAGGAAACAGTATGTGTGTGTGTGTGTGTATATATATTTTTTTAAGTGTCATCAAGTCGGTTCTGACTCATAGCCATCCTGTCTAGGGTTTTCCCAGGAGCAGCGGGTGAGTTTGAACCACCGACCTTATGGATCAAACTGACCTTGCAGTCCAGTGTCACACCAGGACTATATCTATGTAATGATGTAATGAACCTTTATTTTAAGAGAATTATAAATTCACACGCAGTGGTAAGAGATACTCCAGAGAGATCCTGTCAACCCTTTAAGTACCTGAAATACCATCTGTATTTGGCTTTAACAAAAAGAAATTCGTTTTCTTGTAGTTTAGGAGACTAGAAGGCCAAATTCAGGGCTCTGGGGAAAGGTCTTTACATCTTTTCAACCTCCGTAGGCCCAGCCTTCCTTAGAGATCTTCTTGTCTTGGCTTCAGTTTTCCCCTGGGCCGAGGAACTTCACAGAGCAAGGACCCCAGGTCCACAGGCCACACGTCACCCCCTGGCTCTTCTCTCTTGGTGGTAGAGGTCCTCTGACCTCTGCTCACGTCTCCCTCCTTTTATTTCTTGCAAGAAATGGGTGTTTCAGACCCCACCCCAGAGAAATTTCCCTTGCATCATGGTCAGGGCTGGGATGAGTTAGAGTTGTTGTAGCCCACCCATAATCCTCTTACTAGTTTATCAAATCTAATCACATCATGAAGGAACATCCGATAACTGTCACAGCTCATCATTCCATAACTGCCCACCCACTGAGAACCATGGCCCAGTCACACCGACAACGTGTAGTTTAGGGAGACACAATTCATGATGTCTACTTTTACCCCAAACGTAACATCCTATAACTTATGGTACAATGTTACTATCAGGATATTGACATGGACACAGAACATCCTATCACATTGCCACTAACCTGCTCTCCGTTTCTGGCAACCACTAATCGCTTCTCCAGTTCTATAATTTTTGTTATTTCAAGAATGTTGTTTAAATGGAATTGTACAGTAGGTAACCTTTTTCCAGTTAGCATAATTTTCTGGAGCTTCATCCAGGTTTTTCGAGATTAGGAGTAGTCCATAATACAGCTTGTTTAACCATTTATTTGCCTGTCAAAGGACTTTTGAGTTGTTTCCATTTTGTTACTATTTAGAATAAAGCCATGCAAAATATTCATGGACAGCACAAAAACCAGTACAGTTGTTGCTTTTTCTGTTCTAAAGTTTTCATTCAGTTCTTCTTTCTTTGCTGGAGCAAATTTTCCATTTGTGTGAAACATGTTTAATTGTCAGTAGAAGCCTTTTTATGATGCCGCTTTAAGAACTTTCTTGTATAATTCTGACATCACTGTCATCTCAGCATTGTTATCTACTAATTGCCTTTTTTCATTCTGTTTGAAATCTTCCGGGTTCCATGATTTAAAACAAATTTTATCATTTAATTTTATGATTTTCTATTTGTCATCCTTTCTCCTTCTGCCTATGTTCCTATCTATTACTTGGATAAAAATTAAGCCACAATGGTGAGTCAGTTCCCGACCTGAAGGGTGGCCAACGGCTACACTTGGCTCCCTCCAGTCTCTTTCTGATCAGTCAACTGGATCTTTTATTTACAATTTTAAGTTTATTCCACATTTTCTCCCACTCTATCCAGTACCTTCTAATGTGATCCCTATCAGAAAACTTGGTAATAGTAACTGTCGTTGCTGGCAAGTTCCATCGAGTCAGAGCCAACCCAAAGTTCAAAGTCCAGTGTTTATCCTACAGGCCACAGCAGGAGTCTGATTTAAACCTCTGTTTTAGTTAACTTCCTTTGACACCAGTCTGTGGAAGGATGGGTGCCAGGTAGACTAGAAGAAGCCCACATTCCCCAGTCAGCTTCCGCCAACACCTAGGGGTTACTGTGGGGCCAGGCTGGGAGCCTCCGTTCCCATCCACACTCCAGTAGGGCCGGGTCACTGCTGCCGGCCGATGGTGAGGGGACTCAGGCCCTCCATATAGGCTAACTGGCTGGTGGGTTTGAGAGTCTTGGCCTTTCTACAAGGCCCCTCGTTAGAGTTTCATTGGGTTCAAAGTCTATGCTCCCCGACTCAGCCTTTGCTGGTGGGGTTGGGATGAAGTCCTGGTTTTTGCTGTGGGATTTGGCTGAGGTGGACGGTGGATTGTCTAAAACTTTTTTTGGTCTTGTTAGGCGGGCACTCTTCCTGGTAGTCTGGCGGGAGAGCAAGCCTTTGTTGGGCTCTTTGGTGGGTGCTGGTTGATATTTCTGAGGTGCTGGCTCGTTGGCTCCAAGTCTGCAGTACAGGAGGCAAAAGGACACCCAGGGCACTCACCTGTCACCCTTCCTTGGGCCCCAAGCCTTCCTCTCCAGCTTTCAGGACCGTCTAATGTCTGTCTCGTGTCTGTCCTGAGTCTTCAGTGTACTTAGCAGGAGGAATTGGGGGGAAATATATCTCCTCCTAGTGCCGGAATGGACTCCTGGTGTGGCACTATAGGATCAGCACGGACTGCTAACCACAAGGTCGGCAGTTCAAGCCCACCAGCTGCTCCTCGGAAACCTAAACAGGGTCGCTATGAGTCAGAACTGTCTCTACAGCACTCAACAACAGTGATGGAATTCCATTAACATTTCAAATGTTCCTCAAGTGAGGGCTGACAACTGATAGCCCACTAAGTTGGTACCTCGTTGAGTGACCTGCCCCTAGCTTTGGACTGCCATTCAGAACACCCTTCATAAAGATACGTACTGACCTGCTACTCTCCTTTCCTTTCAAACTTCTCCTCTGATCTAAGGGTAGTCTGAATGAAAGGTCTGGGGACTGCTGGAATGGTCCTTAGGGGATTACTGTGTTTAGTTTTGGAGAGAGGGTAGGATTGTGACTGGCAATGTTTTGGGTACTATTAACCTTACGGTATGCATTTGTTGTATGTTTTTTCTGAATCTGTGCTTTACTTTAAAACATAACCTTGTTTTTAACAGTTGTTTAGTAGTGTTGACTATCAGTTGTGATGGACTTCATCAGCACTGGACTGTGAACCACAAGGTTGGCGGTTCAAACCCACTATCTGCTCCTCAGAAGCCCTATATGGGGCCAGCACTTCATGACAACAGTCCTCTGTGAGACTGACCATGGTCTTCCTCCCCTACAGGTCTCAGCCCCACGGAACTGCCCTTTGATTGTCTGGAGAAGACCAGCCGAATGCTCAGCTCCACATACAACTCAGAGAAAGCCGTTGTGAAGACGTGGCGCCACCTTGCCGAGAGCTTTGGGCTCAAGAGGGATGAGATCGGGGGAATGACGGACGGCATGCAGCTATTCGACCGCATCAGCACGGCCGGTTACAGCATCCCCGAGCTGCTGACAAAACTGGTGCAGATAGAACGGTTGGATGCTGTGGAGTCCCTTTGTGCAGACATACTGGAGTGGGCAGGGGTCCTGCCACCTGCCCCCCAGCCACCCGCTACATCCTGAGGGACCCAACGCCAACTGTCCTTCCTTGGGATGAGCCAAGGGACCTAAGTAAAGGCACTGGAGCCATGAGTGGTGAGAACAGACTGTCAGAACCAAGGCTGTTACTGACCGTCACCGGGGATACCCGAGGCTGGCCCACGGAGCAAGAGGAGAGGAGGCCCGACTTCTCATCTAACCAGAGAGAGAGTTCCAGCTGGGTACTCCCTGCTACTGACCTGGACCTCACCAGGCAGAATGAGAGTTACCCAGCCAGCTCTAGGCAGAGCCGAGCAGTTCTCCAATGAACCAGTGTGGGGAACGACCAGGGTGAAGAATCTGGTCTGTACCTTTAAGGAGTTTACAGTCCTGTGGGAAACTTACAACCTGTCTACAAACTTGACTGGGCGAGTGCTCAAGACACCAAAGGAAAGTGTTAGGAGACGGAGAAGGAGTCAGCTTCGCAATGGGGCCATGAAGGAGGCTTTCCTTGTGACGAGGGTAGCGTGGCAAATGGCTACAAAATGTAGACAGCCCACTCCACACATTGTTCCCCGTCCAGTATAAGCCTGTGCCATGAGGGGAACTTTACTTGGCGTTGAGGTCCTTCACAGTTCCTACAGCCCCTTCCCGTCAGTGGGCAAGGTCACCCTATCACCTGCCTATTGTCATAAGTAAGCAGGGGCTTGTCCATCAAGTAGATCTGCATGGTCATCCATTTCATTTATCCTATGAGTCCTAGGTGTGGTCGCTGAGTGAACCCCTTCCCATACATCAAAAGTATTAGATTTGACTTTTGAAGGGCAGCAATGCTCAAGGGCAAAAAAATGGTTAAAATATATTGTGCCAGACTATGTTTTCGCTTTAAGCAAAAGTAAGTGCTTACAACAGGGAAAGAACAACTTCCGAAGGGCTCAGCCACACTTCCTTATCAATTTCTAGAGTATCCAAGACTCCTGGGTACGCCTCACGTTGTGAGCGAGCATTTTTGACTCCAGGTTTTCTACAGCCTGTGGATGGATGGGGCCTCAGCAGTGAAGGAAGGAGCGCTGAGCTTGCGGATCAGAGACGAATGTTCTCAGTGTGCAAGCTTGGGCAATTTCCTCTCCCTTCCTAGAGATCAGTTTCCCTTCTACAGATGAGAGGGTGAGACTGTCTGTGACATTATAATCAGAGAAGTAGAGGTCAGGTGAGCAAAACGGAAGTGGGAAACACGGAGCCATTGCAAAGGATTTGAGGCACTTCGTCGAAGTCGATTGAGTGTGAGCTGCCCAGTGAGATGGGAAGGAAAACAGGAAAGCTTAGATTGGGAGTTCTCACTGTCATTGTGATGATTTGAGAGAAAGTGAATAAGCTGGCGGTGTTCTTGGTAGATTCTTTGATTTTACCAGGAACTGCCAAGAGCTCAGGAGTCACAGCGGTGCTCACACCAGCAGGTTCACTGGTGGGCTATTCCAGCCACAGGTTTGACTGAAGCTGTTACTAAATTAAAACAAATTCTCTGACTTATAAAGTGACATTTTAAAATCATAAGGCACTTGACTGAGTAAATGCTTGGAAGAGCAAATCAGTCACATGTTTAAAGCCAACCAATACTGTGAGAGGATCATAATTAGGTTCTGAATATTTAATATCATCATTGACTGTGTCTGTTTGCTGCTCTTTATCAGAACCTATTTGGTATATCCTAAAAGCTAAATGCTCCATGGCAAAACCTAATGGTCCGTTGAATTCCTCTTTGAGATTCTAAGGTGCCCTTCCCCCTGAATGTGAGGATGAGAGTGTCCCCTTGAATCAGTCATCACATGTGACATGTGATGACCACGTCAGTGCAGGTACAGCCTCCACCTTCCTTAGAACAGCGGTGTCAGTGAAGGAGGAGGGGTGCCTGTGGTTCACAGTGGATGGATGGTTTTGCCTCATTTCACACGATGAGTAAGTACTCTGGGGCCAAGGACCAGCCGGCATCAGACCATGCTTCCTGAACAGAAAATCAGGGAGCTAGTCTGTATATTGTCCCTCATTCCTTTGCCCTTAACTTGTTTAGAAATAGACCCAGGATGGGTTTGCTCCACACGTTATAGACTGAAAATTGGTGTGGTCATCATGGTAAAGCCCCTGACCCAAGCTGGGACTCCGCCTGCCACTTTGTAAAACTAAGGCACCAGTCCTTAGTTTTAACTTATCTAGAAAACACCCCAAGCTAGGTCTGTGGCCCTCAACCAGTGAAGTCTTAATTGTCAATATTTGTGTCTAATTCTGTATATATAACTTATTATATTTTATAATCTCAATAAACAAATGAATTAAAAGAATATCTCAAGACTGCTGTCATGTGAGGTCTTTTGGAGATGGGAGTGTGTGAGCAGAGGAAATTCCGACAGCTCAACTTCCTGGCGGTGACACTGTGTATGACAAGGTCTAGGACTGGGGCCAGGCAGCTAAGAACTGCCTGAAAACTCTCCAGCCAGGGCCTTTCATTCAGCAGAGGCAAGTGTTACAATGAGATCATGGGAAAATCACCTGGAACATTCCATCATTAGTTCATAAGGCATCGGATTAGCTACTGCTGTGTAACAAACCAGCCCCCAATCGTCGTTAGAGCCCAGCTGACCTGGATGGGGGTCAGGGCTTCAGCTGAGCTTGCTCATGCATCTGCGCCTCAGCTGGGGTTCAACTTGCCAGAACATTTGCTGAGGTAGTTCTGCTCGGTTACCCGTCCTCCCCGGGAATTAGTGACGCAGCCCAGGCTTGTCAGCACTCCAGCCACAACGGAGCACAAGCGAGCGGAAAGACAAGACTTAGGCTCAAAACATGTGCATCAGCACTTCTGGACCATTATACTGCCAACATCCGGCACACAGCCGAAGCCAGAGTCACATGACCAAAGGCATGAGTATGTTGTTAAGTGCCATCAAGCCAGTTCTGACTCATAGTGACCCTGTACTGGGTGTCCAGGAAGCAGCTGGTGGGTTTGAACCTTTTGGTTAGCCGTCCGGCGCTGATCCTACAGCGCCGCACCAGGACCCCAGCAGGGCATGAGTATAGAATACGATCAAAATTGGGGACAGATAGAGCAAACCTCCACAAACTTCCTATTGCTGCTGTAACAAATCACCACAAAACCAACAACTTCAAACAACTGAAACGTGTTAACTTACAGTTCAGAAGTCAGGAGTCTGGAACGGACGGCCTGGCTGTATTCCTTCCTTCTGGGAGCCCTCTTCCATCTCCCAAGCCGGTGGTCACATCACTCCAACCTCTGCGTTCATCAGCACATCCTCTTTTCTGTGTCTCCTGCTCCCCTCTTTTTAAGGGCCCTTAGATTTCATTAGGCCACCTAGACAATCCACGGAACCCTGATAGCGTAGCAGGTTACCGGCTGAGCTGCTCACCATAAGGGCAGTAGTTCTAACCTACCAGTCACTCCATGGGAGAAAGGTGAGGCTTTCTGCTCCGGTAGAGATTTACAACCTCAGAAACCCCGTCCAGGCTTGCTATGAGTAGGACCTGGCGCATCACATCCACCACCTCCAGGATGCTCTTCCCCTCTCGAAATCCTTCAACAGAGCGGCAAAGTCCCTTCCCTTGTAGGGTAACATCGTCACAGGATCCAGGGAATAAGACGTGGGCACCTGGTGGGGGTAGGCATTCCAGTCCCTACCTCACCAGGTGTATCAATGTTTGTGAAATATGCATATTAGCAACTCCATGGGCAGCCCGCCCTCAAGACGTGTTCTCCAGCTGGCTCTGTTTTCTTAAAGGAAGCGATGGCAGACTTTCTGTTGAGATTCCAAGAAGAAAGGAGAGCTGGCCTGGAGGGGCTCAGTTGTAATGTGCTGAGGGTGGTACGGCCTGCCCTCACACAGTCGTGCCTCACTGGTAGAATTCTCGCCTGGCACACAGAAGCCCCGGTTGATGCTGGTCAGCGCACGCCGAGGACAGTTTATCGGTCAGTGGCGGCTTTAACTGTTACCCATGATGCTGAGCAGGCTTCAGTGCAGCTTCCAGAATAGGATGGACCAGGAAGAAAAGTCTGACAATCTTCTTCCAAAAGCCAGTCAGTGAACCCCATGACTCACAACACTCCGATCCCATTGTTCACGGGGTTACCACGAGTCAGAGACCATCTCAACAGGAAATACCCCAGCAACAAGCTGGACCCCCGCTTCTCACTGGGGGACCCACCTCAGATGCTGCTCTATCCTCTGTCCCCATTGGCAATGACCCAAAGGGAGAGTGGAGGACAACCCAGGGATCCCAACTTTGAAGTGGAGGATGTCTGTTTCCTAAGGGCTTTGCTCAGACTTTTTTTTTTTTAACATTTCCTAATAAATCATTCACTTTGGCAACAAGCTTTCTGTCATTAAATCTGAGTTCTCTTGTGGCGCAATTAAACAGTTATTCCTTTTGTTGTTGTTTTTTAAGGTTTTAATTGTGGATTGAGTGAAAGTTTACAGACCAGATCATCAGTTTTACATTCAACAAATCATACACCTTGTTTCATTACAATGATTATAATCCCCTCCGTGTACCATCAGTTAACAGTATTTCTCTCTAATCACTTTAGCTTTTTTAAAAACAAAACTCACTAAGGCATATATAATAATATACACTTCCAAAGGGCACATTCTACAAGTCTGCCT